GGTTTGGGCGCCATATTTGGAGGCTGAGCAGCACAGTGGTTAATGAGAGATGATTTAGTTCTGGAATGACTTTTGTTGCTCCGTGTTGCATCTTCTCCAGGCCAGCTATGTCCTTCTGAAAATGAGGTCTCCATGCTTGGATACGGTAATTTAAGTGGGGGTGCACCAGAGATATATACAGTTGAACCTTCTTTTCCTTCAAAACCTTCCCTTCCCAAAACCTTCCCAAAACCCTGAACCTTCATTACCTTCTTTTCCTTATAGTCAAAAGTACGCTTGATTATCCCAAGAGTTTGGTTAGCTTTTCTGACTGCTGCACCCACCTGTTGTGCAACTTTTAATGAGTTGTGGATTTTGACTCCAAGGTCCTCTTCATCATCAATCTGCTGTAATGTAATACTGTTAATTTGTGCAGTTAGTTGTTATGCCCTACATGCATGGTCTTGCATTTGTTGATATTAAAAAAGCATTTGCCAGTCTTCTGACCAATTATGGAGTTCATGTAGATCTCTTTGTATGACTTCAATATCATTATCATTTCCCACTTTATCTAAATCTTTGTGTCATCTGCAAATTTGATGATATGGTTTGTAATATTCTCATCAATGTCATTGCTTATATATTCTATATATTGCTTCTATATATGACAAAAAGGGTAGGTCCCAAAATGGACTGTTGTGGCGCCCTACTTTTCACATTTTTCCATTTAGCACAACCTTTTGTTTTCTTTCCTTTAACCATTGTTTTATCCATTTTAATATTTTACCATTTATTTCATGGGCCTGTAATTTCCTTGCCAGTCTTTCATGTGGTACCTTATCAAGAGCTTTAGTAAAATCCAACGGAGGATTTTTGTCTGAGTAGCTGGTTACCTTTTCCAAAAATCTAAGCAAATTTATATGCTCTATGTTCTCTAGAATTCTTATTGTGTTTAGCTTCCTGAAGATTTCATTTTGTACAAATACACTTTGGAACTGTTTGTTTAATGTTTCACACATTTCCTTTTCATTTTCTGCAAATCTGTTTCCCATTTTCAACCTCTGAATATTATCCTTAAGCTGCAATTTGTTGTTTATGAATTTATAGAATAGACCTGCTTCTGTTTTATATTTGTCCGCAATCTCTTTTGTCAAAATTTCTTTCTGCTTCTCTCCTCACTGCCATGTAGTTGTTTCTCACATCTTTGTATCTCTGGTATGTTTGGGGGTTTGGCCTCTTCCTATATTGATTCCATTTTTGTGTCTTTTGGTCTCTGGCTCTCTTGCAATTTCTGTTGAACCAATCCTGTTTCCTAGTTCTGCTTTGATATAAAAAATTTTGTGCCTTCATCATATATTTCACAAAACTTCACATACATCTCATTTACTTCATTTCCTAACAGCAAATATTTCCAGTCAAATTCCTTAATGAAATTTCTAAGGTCCCCATATGTCCTCTCCTCAAATCAGGTTTTTCAACTGCTTCAACCCCCGTATTTTCTTCCAGATTATAATGCATTGCATACTTTATTTCCAAAAAGACATGGTCACTTTTACCCAGGAAGGGAGGTACTGAATGTCAAATCTCTCTCTTTTTCCAAGTAAATATCAAATCCAGCATGGAAGGAACATCCCCTTCCCTCATCCTCGTAGCTTGTTTATCATGTTGAAACATGAATGTTTCCAGGATGAGGATTATAACTCTACAGGTCCAAAAGTCCTCTGTTCTATCTTCATGTGCCTCCCTGTCTATGGATTTCAAGTTGAAGTTGCCGACTACCAACAGTCATGATCTATCTTTTATCCACTCTCACTATAATCTCTCTCATTATTGGTATAAGACCCTCTCATTTATCCAGCTCCTCCTTTGTTCATGTGTTGCATGGCGGTGGACTATATGCATTTATGATTATTAGTTTAACATCCTCATAGCAGATCTCTAGTGCTATTATGTCAACTTCTCATGGATTGGCAATCATTATTTCGTTTATCATTAGGCGTTCTTTCACCAGCACAGCAACGCCACCACCTTTCCCAATTTTTCTGTCCCGTCTCCAAACTGAGTAGACCCTTGGGAATATGACCTCATTTAAAATATAGTATCATCTGCAAGTTTCGTCTCCGTGAGTGCAACGATATCTGGCGTCTGCAGCTCTACTGCATCACTTAACTCCAGTATCTTTGATCTCACTCCATCTATGTTGGTGTATACAATTTTCAGGAACATGTTCCCTCCCTCCTTATTCTTCACTTCCCCTTTCTCCAGCGATTTTATGTGTTTGCCTTTTTGTACCATATTACTGGTCTGCCTACCCCTATCACTTTGCAGGAAAAAAGAATTGATTTCTTCTTCATTCCTGCTCTCATTTAGGCGTTTTGCCTTTACGAGGTTCAGTTTCAACTTCTCTCTGTCTTCCTTTGAAAGATCTCGTCTTAACAACCATACTTTTCCCTTCCTCATCATGTTGTAATTTTCTAGCATTCCTTAGTACTTCTACCACCTGTGTGGGTGTGTCAGAGTTGGTTGCTCTGACACAGGTGGTGGTTGGTTGCAGTTCATTCTACAGTATTTTGTATATATATGTATGATATTTGGTGTAGTGATCATCTGTGTATGTTCCAAAGTCATATAACACACTTAAAGTATTATTCTATATGTTTTCGGTACTTCATGTGGAGTTTTATATATTGTACCATGCCACCTCGGCTTACGAATGCCCCTATTTACGAATTTTTCGGGTTATCAGCCCAATTTCTTTGAAAAATTCAAATCGGGTTATGAACGTTGCCTCGGGAAACGAGTTTGTTGATACATGTATGGTGGACCTAGCATATGGTGGCACAGCGAGCGCGCATCAGTTTACCAATGCCTCCCGCCTAGTGACAATTGTGCCTGAATTCTTTGTAAAGAATTAGTTTTTTTTCAGATTTTTGGCTATTTGAACATAAAATTTGTTATTATATATCTCTCCATGGGTCTCAAGAAAGCCAGTGGTAAGGTTCAAGCCAAGAAAACACATGTGAGAATGACCACAAGGAGTAGCAACAAGAGGCAGCTGAGGAAATGTCTTCAGGGGGAGGAGGAGGCAGTAGAGAATGTCCCCTTCCTTAACAATTAGGAAGTGGTGAAGGCTGTGGGAAGAAATGCAAACTTTTGTTGAAACGACTCACCCAGAGCAAGCTGTAGTAGGCCATTGCATTAACTTTTTTAATGACAAATGTGATGCCTCAATACAGACAATTGTTACAATGAAGGGAAAAAACAATCCGCTATGGATCGTTTTATAGTGAGAAAATCAAGCAGTGAGGCACAAGCAGGTCCTAGTGGTATGCCTGCAAAACATAGGAGAGAGAGTACCCCAGAAAAGTCATCACTGCCTTATGTAATAGTGGAAGGAGACTCCCCTTCCAAACACTGGAATGGATTATTAAATTTCCATTATTTATTATGGGAAAATTCACTTCCGTTTATGAATTTTCGGCTTACAAAACTTCTCTGGGAACGGATTAAATTCATAAGCTGAGGTACTACTGTACTGAGGTACCAACACTGTACAGTAAAGTGTACTGTACAGTGTTGGTACTGTGAGATGACTGGGTTGTCAGTTTGCAGCAACCTTCACTGGTTTCTGGGTTCTGTTGAGGGTCACACGTATTGTGTGTGCTCTCTGGATATTGTATATATTTATATCTATTCCTACACAGCCCTTGACAAAAATGAGTTTCCAATTGAACTCTTCATTGACCTGAGAAAGGCTTTTGATACTGTAAACCATAACTACCTCTTATTTAAACTTCACCATTATGTAATTCGAGGCCTTGCCCTGAACTATATTCGATCCTATCTTAGTGACAGACACAAATATGTAGCCATCATTGATACAATCTCCTCCACTCTACCATTGTTGTTGTGAATTTAGGGGCAACGACGATATTGCGATTGGATGCGTGCCGGCGTTCCCGTAAAAAGTTAATCGCAAATTCTAAAGGTGAAACAAATGATGCAGATCACCAGACACTAACATGCCTCACGTCAAAGAAACACACAGACAAGCAGATGGTTGGGGAGCCCCAGGAGTCCCTCAGGCTGACAAACAACGGCCCAGCCCCACACAGAGAACACCAGGTAGCAAAACCAAAAACTAGGCCCCAACTAAAATGCAAAAGTCATCTGGTGCCCTCCAGCAGAGCAGATGTCAGCCGCCCACCACGGCTGAGGGCACACCAGGAGCCCACCAAGACCCACCAACTCCCGGCACCTCTCGGCCAAACTGGCGCCGGACACCGTCACCCCGCTGGGAGAAGCAGCCAGAAAACGTTCAAAATCTATTAACCGTTCTATCAAACTATGAAGGAATATGAAGCATATGAGGACAGTATGGAACATAGAAAAGACCTACTACATTTTACTTGGAAGCAAATCAACAAATGCAATTCAGCTTTAGATAGACAATGTTAACATCAGCAATAAAAATGATGGAAAGTTCCTTGCCCTATACATAGACAAGAGACTCAACTTCGGCACCCATATACAACAGATAATTATAAGTCTCAAAAACGGTTGGTACACTTTTTAAATCAGATATTATGCTTCAAACTCTACTCTCCTCTCATTATACTACGAGCTAATATATCCCTATCTTACATATGGTATCTGTGCATGGGGTTCAACCACTACAAATTACCTCAAGCCCATCATCACCCAGCAAAAATCGGCTATCAGAACAATAACAAACTCTGTTTTCAGACAACACACAGCATCTGCTATTAGAACAATAACAAACTCTGTTTTCAGACAACACACAGTCAATCTGTTTAAATCCCTAAACATTGCTAAACATAAACTCACTCCAGGGAGTGAGAAGGGGCTACCCCCAGAAAATTAAATGAATGAATGAAAGATTTTCATCCTGTACACACTCTAAAGTAAAGCACTTCCTATAGTTTGTCAGGACAAAGGACAGGACAGGGTTAAATGCTTGTTACAGAAGCATTTAGAGTGGAGTATGTGGATGTTGGTACCTGAGGAGTGTACCAGCAGCACGGGAGCGGTAGATGTCACAGCGGTGTAGGGGTCCTGTGTGCCCGGCTGCTTTACACAGCTCACTGTGGAACTGGAACTGCACTATGAAGCTGACGAAGTACCTGGAGGTGCAAGAGCAGGTATAAATGTACCGTAATCATAAGTTTATAGTAGTTGCCTATTGAATACTCTCACTTATTTTGTGCTTTTGCTAAATTTTTCATTTGCAGTGTTTATTTATTGATTACTGTAGCATCTAGTGTTCTTGTTTTCTTATTAACCTTGTTTGATTCCTGGATAACATTTGTCATGGTATACACAGAAATCACAATAGTGTGGTGCATCAAATGAACAAATCCACAAGGGCCGTGATGAGGGTTCGAACCTACGTCCGGGATGATCCCAGATGCGCCTTAGTCGATTGCGTCATGACATGGTTAAAAGAATTGCAACCTGTCATGGTAGTTGTGTCTGCATTTAAGAAGCATAGTGTTTGGAGATACACTCGACAACTCTTATGTTAAACGTTGAACAACATTAATTGGGTTGTTAACTGTGAAGGGTTGTGCATCAGTGCCTGAGAGAGTATCATATTCTGGGAGGCAAAACAGATAAATACCTAATGTTTGCATTATACCGAAGTGTATTGTAGACTCCAAGCATGATTGGAAATAAGTTAATTTATATAGTAAAATTTACAACAACAACAAAAAGTTGAATTAGAGAAGTCTATTAAAGACAGCGATTACAAAATCCTAAAGAATAAAAAAAATGAAATAGGTGCTATATCATCAAAGCACCTGATGATATAGAGAGTTGTTAGTGAATGTTGTATTCACCTGATGTAAGGAACGTTGGCAGGGATGTGGAACTTGGCACTGGGATCAAAGTCATCTTCATCTCTAGGTACAGGTGGTGACACTCCCTGCAGGGAGAGGCGGAGGTCCCACCAGCGACTATTGAGCGAGAGTGGCCCTGTCCTCCCACTGAACACCTCCCACCGCCACTGTCAACCATTACACCACACCAATTCAATTATGATGAACTAATGTTCAGAATAAATATTAATACATCTAAGAACAGTATATAAGAATTAATAATTCATTGTGTCAGGGTACAGGCAGCCAGTGTATATATATATATATATATATATATATATATATATATATATATATATATATATATATATATATATATATATATATCTGCAGAATAACCACATGTGAAAAATAGAAAATGCTTAACGCGTTTTCGGCTAATTCGCCTTCATCAGAGCAAAGTAGAATCAATTCTGCTTTGCTCTGATGAAGGCGAATTAGCCGAAAACGCGTTAAGCATTTTCTATTTTTCACATGTGGTTATTCTGCATACTTGGATCAGTGTTTTTGTGATCGTTGTTGCATATATATATATATATATATATATATATATATATATATATATATATATATATATATATATATATATACATATATATATATATATATATATATATATATATATATATATATATATATATGTCGTACCTAGTAGCCAGAACGCACTTCTCAGCCTACTATGCAAGGCCCGATTTGCCTAATAAGCCAAGTTTTCCTGAATTATTATATTTTCTCTAATTTTTTTCTTATGAAATGATAAAGCTGCCCATTTCATTATGTATGAGGTCAATTTTTTTTATTGGAGGTAAAATTAACGTAGATATATGACCAAACCTAACCAACCCTACCTAACCTAACCTAACCTATCTTTATAGGTTAGGTTAGGTTAGGTAGCCGAAAAAGATAGGTTAGGTTAGGTTAGGTAGGTTAGGTAGTCGAAAAACAATTCATGAAAACTTGGCTTATTAGGCAAATCGGGCCTTGCATAGTAGGCAGAGAAGTGCGTTCTGGCTATTAGGTACGACATATATATATATATATTAGTATATTTTGGTAGCAGTCTTTCCTGTAGACATATATTATTAAATATGACCGAAAAAGTAAGATTAATAATTCTAACACGAATTTTCTCAATCTTTCGTACATTTCTTTTCACTGTTGGAGGTAAATCAAAAATCAATTCTCCAAAATTCATTTTTATTTCTAGCCTGACGCGACACGAGCGCGTTTCGTAAAACTTATTACATTTTCAAAGACTTTAGTTTACAAATATACAACTGAATAGAACTTACGCATCTCCGATTTTATATCTACATTTGAGTGAGGTGGATGGGGTGAGGTGGCATTAATAGGGTATTAATTTCATCAACACAAGACAGAACAAGAGGTGGCATTAATAGGGTATTAATTTCATCAACACAAGACAGAACACGAAACAATGGGTATTTGAATAGAAGTGTTTGTAGAAAGCCTATTGGTCCATATTTCTTGATGCTTCTATATTGGAGCGGAGTCTTGAGGTGGGTAGAATATAGTTGTGCATTAATTGGCTGTTGATTGCTGGTGTTGACTTCTTGATGTGTAGTGCCTCGCAAACGTCAAGCCGCCTGCTATCGCTGTATCTATCGATGATTTCTGTGTTGTTTACTAGGATTTCTCTGGCGATGGTTTGGTTGTGGGAAGAGTTATATGTTCCTTAATTGAGCCCTGTTGCTTATGCATCGTTAAACGCCTAGAAAGAGATGTTGTTGTCTTGCCTATATACTGGGTTTTTTGGAGCTTACAGTCCCCAAGAGGGCATTTGAAGGCATAGACGACGTTAGTCTCTTTTAAAGCGTTCTGTTTTGTGTCTGGAGAGTTTCTCATGAGTAGGCTGGCCGTTTTTCTGGTTTTATAGTAAATCGTCAGTTGTATCCTCTGATTTTTGTCTGTAGGGATAACATTTCTATTAACAATATCTTTCAGGACCCTTTCCTCCGTTTTATGAGCTGTGGAAAAGAAGTTCCTGTAAAATAGTCTAATAGGGGGTATAGGTGTTGTGTTAGTTGTCTCTTCAGAGGTTGCATGGCGTTTCACTTTCCTTCTTATGATGTCTTCGACGAAACCATTGGAGAAGCCGTTGTTGACTAGGACCTGTCTTACCCTACAGAGTTCTTCGTCGACTTGCTTCCATTCTGAGCTGTGGCTGAGAGCATGGTCGACATATGCGTTAACAACACTCCTCTTGTACCTGTCTGGGCAGTCGCTGTTGGCATTTAGGCACATTCCTATGTTCGTTTCCTTAGTGTAGACTGCAGTGTGGAAACCTCCGCTCTTTTCCATGACTGAAACGCCATGCAACCTCTGAAGAGACAACTAACACAACACCTATACCCCCTATTAGACTATTTTACAGGAACTTCTTTTCCACAGCTCATAAAACGGAGGAAAGGGTCCTGAAAGATATTGTTAATAGAAACGTTATCCCTACAGACAAAAATCAGAGGATACAACTGACGATTTACTATAAAACCAGAAAAACGGCCAGCCTACTCATGAGAAACTCTCCAGACACAAAACAGAACGCTTTAAAAGAGACTAACGTCGTCTATGCCTTCAAATGCCCTCTTGGGGACTGTAAGCTCCAAAAAACCCAGTATATAGGCAAGACAACAACATCTCTTTCTAGGCGTTTAACGATGCATAAGCAACAGGGCTCCATTAAGGAACATATAACCTCTTCCCACAACCAAACCATCGCCAGAGAAATCCTAGTAAACAACACAGAAATCATCGATAGATACAGCGATAGCAGGCGGCTTGACGTTTGCGAGGCACTACACATCAAGAAGTCAACACCAGCAATCAACAGCCAATTAATGCACAACTATATTCTACCCACCTCAAGACTCCGCTCCAATATAGAAGCATCAAGAAATATGGACCAATAGGCTTTCTACAATCACTTCTATTCAATACCCATTGTTTTGTGTTCTGTCTTGTGTTGATGAAATTAATACCCTATTAATACCACCTCTTGTTCTGTCTTGTGTTGATGAAATTAATACCCTATTAATGCCACCTCACCCCATCCACCTCTCTCAAATGTAGATATAAAATCGGAGATGCGTAAGTTCTATTCAGTTGTGTATTTGTAAACTAAAGTCTTTGAAAATGTAATAAGTTTTACGAAACGCGCTCGTGTCGCGTCAGACTAGAAATAAAAATGAATTTTGAAAAATTGATTTTTGATTTACCTCCAACAGTGAAAAGAAATGTACGAAAGATTGAGAAAATTCGTGTTAGAATTATTAATCTTACTTTTTCGGTCATATTTAATAATATATGTCTACAGGAAAGACTGCTACCAAAATATACTAATATATGTATATATATATACATATATATATATATATATATATATATATAATACACACACACACATACATGTTAGGCTTATATCAAAATATTCCTCCCCCCCCCTGCCTTGCCCAGAATGCAACCCCACAATAAGCTGACTAATGCCTGGGTACCTATTTACTGCATTACTGTGAACAGGGTATATTTACTGTGAACAGGGGCCTGACATAATAGGAAAAGCGTGAAACCATTTCTGTCCCACTCGGGATTCAAACCCCGAATTCCCGATTGTGAGTCGGGAGCAAACCCGACAGTACTACGGAGACTACTGTATACAGTGTATATATATATATATATATATATATATATATATATGTCGTACCTAGTAGCCAGAACGCACTTCTCAGCCTACTATGCAAGGCCCGATTTGCCTAATAAGCCAAGTTTTCATGAATTAATGTTTTTTCGACTACCTAACCTACCTAACCTGACCTAACCTAACTTTTTCTGCTACCTAACCGAACCTAACCTATAAAGATAGGTTAGGTTAGGTTAGGTAGGGATGGTTAGGTTCGGTCATATATCTTCGTTAATTTTAACTCGAATAACAAAAAATTGACCTCATACATAATGAAATTGGTAGCTTTATCATTTCATAAGAAAAAAATTAGAGAAAATATATTAATTCAGGAAAACTTGGCTTATCAGGCAAATCAGGCCTTGCATAGTAGGCTGAGAAGTGCGTTCTGGCTACTAGGTACGACATATATATATATATATATATATATATATATATATATATATATATATATATATATATATATATATATATATATATATATATATACTGTATATATTATACACAGTAGAACCTCGAGTGACGAGCGCCTCAATTGGTGAACAATTTGGGTAACGAGTGCCCTGATCGCCGACAATTCGTCTCGTTTGGCGAGCGCTCGTTTGAATACCACCACCACCACATGGTGGGGTCGCGCTGCTTCGCACATTCTCAGACGCCTCCGACGATGCAAATAAATTATTTATTTTTCTTTAAAGATGCTAATGATGTGATGTTGCAAAGCATTAACTTTTTTGTAGAAAAAAGAAATGAAATTTAAAAAAAAAAAGAACAAATGTCAAATAGGTTTGTTCAGTGTTTGTCAGGTAGGCTGCTCCGTGTTTCTTAAAAAAAAAAGAAATGAAAAATTTGAAAAACAACATACGTCAAAAAGGTTTGTTTGGTGTTCGGCAGGTAGACTGCTCCATGTTTCTTAAAAAAAAAATAAAAAATTAAAAAAAAAAAAGTTGAAACAATTTGAAAAACGGACAAATGCTATATAGGTTTGTTTAGTGTTTGTCAGGTAGACTACTCCATTATTGAGAAATAAATGATAAATACAAAACAAATGGAATACATTTGAAACAAAGAAAGATTGTCCTAATGGAGCAGCCTACCTGACGAACACTGAACAAACCTATATGGCATTTGTCCGTTTTTCAAATTGTTTCAACTGTTTTTTTATTTTTTTTTTTTAAGAAACATGGAGCAGTCTACCTGCCGAACACCAAACGAACCTTTTTGACATTTGTTCTGTTTTTCAATTTTTTTTTTTTTTTTTTTTTTTAAGAAACACGGAACAGCCTAGCTGACAGTGACATCAGGTAGTTCAGCGTATGTAAGGTAGGCTGCCCCTTTATTTATAACATTGAATATCATATTGATGTTTTCTGTGGTAGAATGGATTAATTTGATTTCCATTATTTTAAATGGGGAAATTTGTTTTGAAAGATGAGTATTTCACATAATGAGCTCGGTGCCAGAACGGATTAAATTCGTTATTCGAGGTTCCACCGTATATGTATCTCATGATGTCTTAAATATACTTAACTGTATATAAATTTTACTATAAATTTTTGTAAATCTTTTTTATACTCTTTGGTAAATACGACTTACCAAATCCACCAAGTATCCAAAGGGCAGAAAAGCGATCTTATCCAGAGCCATACTGAACAAGAAGTTGATATCTGTCTCGTAAGAGTCATCCACATCTTCCAGCAGACCAATGGACTGAAGATGGTGCGGTGTGGAGGCCGAGAGTGCCAACACGTCCCCCACCGCCTCGTGGAACCCAGGGTTGGCACCATCTCTGCCATCATACACATTTATCAAAAACAATCAGAAAAGGTTCAAGTGAAACAAAAAATTAGTGTAAAAAAATTCATTGAGATATTACACCCAATTTAGGAGAAGGTGGATTTAACTAAGGCTCGATGTAAGATTTTGAATACAGAGTTCAGTTACCTCACTGGGAAGATCAGTATCCACCTAGTTGTATTCACCTAGTTGTGCTTGCAGGGAGTTGAGCTCTGCTCTTTCGGCCCGCCTCTCAACTGTCGATCAACAATTTTTTTCCCACCCCCCAGGAAGCAGCCCGTAACAGCTGTCTAACTCCCAGGTACGTGTTTACTGCTAGGTGACAGGGGCATCAGGGTGAAAGAAACTCTGACCATTTGTCTCTGCCATCACTGGGGATCGAACTCCGGTCCCCAGGATTACGAGTACTGAGTGCTGTCTACTCAGCCACCAGGTGTCCTATTAGTGTTAGTGAAGGGGTGTGAGGTTGACAGACATGTGAAGCGTGCAGTAGTGAAGGTGGGAGGGAAGGCTGGTGTCTACATGGAGACAATGGACATCCTGCAACAACATGTAGGGTTTGTCTTGGTACTCAACGGAAGATGGTAAGGTGGTGGTACCTGACAGAAGAAGGGATGGTGGTACCTGGCAGAAGAAGGGATGGTGGTACCTGGCAGAAGAAGGGATGGTGGTACCTGACAGAAGAAGAGATGGTGGTACCTGACAGAAGAAGGGATGGTGGTACCTGACAGAAGAAGAGATGGTGGTACCTGACAGAAGAAGAGATGGTGGTACCTGGCAGAAGAAGGGATGGTGGTACCTGACAGAAGAAGGGATGGTGGTACCTGACAGAAGAAGAGATGGTGGTACCTGACAGAAGGAGGGATGGTGGTACCTGACAGAAGGAGGGATGGTGGTACCTGACAGAAGGAGGGATGGTGGTACCTGACAGAAGAAGGGATGGTGGTACCTGGCAGAAGGAGGGATGGTGGTACCTGACAGAAGGAGGGATGGTGGTACCTGGCAGAAGAAGGGATGGTGGTACCTGACAGAAGAAGAGATGGTGGTACCTGACAGAAGAAGGGATGGTGGTACCTGGCAGAAGAAGGGATGGTGGTACCTGGCAGAAGAAGGGATGGTGGTACCTGGCAGAAGAAGGGATGGTGGTACCTGGCAGAAGGAGGGATGGTGGTACCTGGCAGAAGGAGGGATGGTGGTACCTGGCAGAAGAAGGGATGGTGGTACCTGGCAGAAGGAGGGATGGTGGTACCTGGGAGAAGAAGGGATGGTGGTACCTGGCAGAAGAAGGGATGGTGGTACCTGGCAGAAGAAAAGATGGTGGTACCTGGCAGAAGAAAAGATGGTGGTACCTACCTAAAGATGAAAGGTTGATTACGGTACTGGAGGTCGTACTGGATGTGGCCCATTTCATGGTGAATGGTGATGAGGTCTTCGGTTGTCACCTGAGTGCACTGCTTGATCCTGTTCACATACAAAAGGAGAATACATAAGGAATCAGTTGGACTATCATTTCTTTGCACAAATACACTGTATCAACTCATCATCATATGTACCTCTCCATTTATAACTTACGGTGATGGTGATACCTGGCAGAAGAAGGTATCTAACTAACCTTCTATCGTCCTTTCTAACCTGCTATCCTATATTTCTGCCAATCCATGTTTTTAACCTAGTGATCTATCCATGCCAGTTTGCCTCCAAAATACCTGATTTACCACTAATCCTAGTGCCTTGGACGAGGACAGGAAGCCGGCAGGTTGTTGAAGGTCCCCTCCATTTGCCTTTATGATCTTTTCCAGGTAGATTTTAAAACTCAACACAGTTTTGGCATCTACGGCTTCGACGGATAGGCCCCCTCCCCATCCGGCCCGTTGGCGTCGTGAGGGGGCTTGGTGGACGGCTGCCGGAGTGTGATGCTCCGTTGGGCAGTCCTCTGTCCTTTTCTGGTCTTGCACTCCTGCTGCTGTCTTCTCCAATTGTGCCGGATCGCTTTTCCTTTTCCTTATGTTTCGTTTTTCTCCCCCCTCTTCTCCTATCTGCTTGTTGTTTCCTGCCGACCTTTTGCTTGTTTTGGATTATTTCTTTGGACTTCTTCTATTTTGACGCCCGGGTGCTTGAGGAGGCATACTCTTGCACCCGTAGAACTGTAGTACCCAACGTCTCGAGCGAAGGGAACCTTTTATTGTCAATCCCCCTTTCGTCGCTGAACCCGATCTCGACGGACTGACGGTTCTTCAGGTGGCGTTTGTGGGGCGTATACTCACGACGCACCCCTAGGGGGCCCCGGCATGATCGGCGATAGCTTCCTGTTGGGTGTCCTGCCTCTAATTGTGGCTCCATGGTGGGTATGGGGGCACATTCGTGGATGAATTTGTCACTTTTCGTCTCTATGTCGTTGAATGTTTCCGTTGTACCCTCTCAGGCTCGTGGGGTGGGCGACCAAGCCCCCGAGTCGGCCTGTATTGGAAGACCAGGCTCTGTAGCTCCCGCTGCGTTGGGCCCCGACCTTGCTCCTCCTTTGACCGTCCTGACTTCTTCCCCCAGCTCCCCTCCCTCCTCTGTGGTTGGGTCGAGCCTCCAGCCCCCGGTGGTGACCACTTCGTCCCCTGGTGTGGCTAAGTCTTTCGTTGTGACTACTGCGCCTTTTGACCCCTCTCTCTCTAGGGGTTCTCAACGCCGTTCGCGCCCCAACCGCACTCGCTCGATTCCTTCCCGTGCTGATGCGTATCAGGCCTTGTTTGGTCCTGCTTCATGGGCCAAATACTTTGATCTCTTCCCTCTTGATTCTGCGCCTCCTGACGATTTCTCCCTCCATCGGCATCTTGTAGATTCCGTGGATGCGTCTGTTACTTTCAACCCCACTCGTCTCGGTACACGTGTCGTTGCTGCTCCTTCTCAGGATGCGGCTTCCCGCTTGGCTGCCTTATCTTGCCTTGGCGAGATCCCTGTTCGGGTCTCCAAGAACGTTCAGATGAATGCCAATGTTGGCACTATTCTCCTCCCACCCCATGTTGCAACCGGTGTTCGGAATCTGCAGGATTGCCACGATGATATTCGGCATATCCTTGATGCCCAAGGCCATTCTGTCCTCCAGGTTGACTCGTTTACTCGTCCCCCTCGTGGTCGTCGCCGTCAACCCCTTCGCGTTGTGAAGATCACCTTTGATGGTAGGACCCTTCCATCCTCTGTCATTCTTGCTGGTGCTAGGTGCTCTGTCCAGGAGTATATTCCTTCTCCTCGACTTTGTAACAAGTGCTGGAGGTTTGGGCATGGTGCCCTCCGCTGCTCTGGGACTGTCTCTCTCTGTCCTTTGTGTGGGAGTGAAGGTCACTCTAAGTCGGAGTGCACTTCTCCCCAGGCTCGTTGCCTCAACTGCGGTGAGGCCCATCCTACCTTCTCCCGTGCGTGTGTCCATTACAAGCTTGAGGCAGCCGTCCTCAACTTGAAGCACCGGGAGCGTTTATCTTTTCCTGAGGCGAGACGCCAGGTTCGCCGGCTCCCGCCTTTTGCTAATATCTCTTATGCTCGCGTGTTGCGCTCTTCCTCTCCTCGTCCTTCCCACCTTCCTCAGACTCACAACCGTTTCCGGGCCTTGGACCCTGATGCGCCCACTGCCCCCTCCTTTGTTCCTTTGGGTTCTCTCCCGAAGGGTCCTCCTCCTGGTCCTCTGTCTGGGGTTCCCCTTCCTTCTACCCGGTCTGTCGTGTCTCCTGTGTCTTCTTCCTCGTCCCCCTCCGATCCTCCTTCCCATCCTCTTCCTCCATCTATCGGCTCTCCCCACCGCCTGTCGGTGCAGGCAGATGTCCATCGCTCTCCTAACGGCCGTCGTGTGTGCTCTCGTTCGGCTTCTCCTGTTGAGACACTGGAATCCGTTGCCCGGTACGTAGTTGCTGGGACACCGGTCTCTTTAAGTCAGAAGCGAAAGCCTGGCTCCTCTCCTTCCTCTTTCCCGGCGGGTAAGAAGGCTTCGCTTTCTTCCTCAGCTCCTACTTCTGGCTCTGTTGCTCCTTCCCCTCCCGTTTCAGTGATTGCGCCCCCTGTTCCTGCTATGGAGGTTTCTTTGGCCCCTGCTACCCTTTCGGTTGCTGCTCTTGCTGAGGTGCGCTCCCCTCTTTCTACTCCCCCTCTTCCTGCTGCTGTCCTTGACTGCTCCTCTCCGTTGTCTCCTCCTCTTCCTCCTCCTCCTCCTCGTCCTCCTCCTCCTCCTCGTCCTCCTCCTCCTCCTCGTCCTCCTCCTCCGGACCCCGCCCGCCCACCTCTGATCTGTTCTCCCGTTTCCTTCCCTCCGTCTTTGCTCAGTTTACCCATGTCCCCGAACCCTGACTTTGCTGACCCTGATATTCTTTAACGTGCTCTGTTGCTCTTTCTCCTTTGTTTCTTCCTTGTTCTCTGTTTTTGTCCTTTCTCTTCTCGTCGTTGTCCATTCTTCAATGGAACGTTCGAGGTTATTACGCCAATTTCCTCGAACTCCAACTTCTGATTTCGCGGTTTTCGCCCCTTTGTGTCTGTCTCCAGGAGCCAATGCTTGGTGCTCGTCCTGGTCGTTTTCGTGGCTATTCCTTTCTCTCCCCCTCCCCCCAGCCATTGCTGGGGCTTCTAATTCTTCTGCTCTCTTGATTCGTTCTGATGTTCCCTTTGTTCCTTTGCTTTTTCCTTCGCCTCTCCATTGTTCTGCTGCTCGTATCTTTGTGGGGAAATGGTACACAATTTGTTCCATTTATCTCCCCCCGAGTGTCCCGCTCTCTCTTCCTGATTTGAAACACCTCCTAGACTCCTTGCCGGAGCCTGTGCTCCTGCTGGGTGACTTCAATTGTCGTCATTCTCTTTGGGGTGACGTTCTGACAAATACCCGGGGTCGCCTCCTTGAGCCGTTTCTCCTCTCTTCTTCCCTGTCTCTTCTGAATTCTGGTGAGCCCACTCATTTGGACTCTCGGACTCGCACCCTTTCTTGTCTTGATCTTTCTCTCTGCTCTTCTTCTCTTTACTTAGATTTCACGTGGCAGGTTCTTGATGACCTCCATGGAAGTGATCATTTCCCCATCCTTGTTTCCTTTTTCTCTTTTCGCCCTTCCCTCTCTTTCCCTAGGTGGCAGTTTGCTAAGGCAGACTGGACCCTATTTACCCTCAGTGCTGCTCTCTCTGACCTCTCCCTTCTGCCTCTCTCTCGCGCTCTCCTCCTTTTTCATGACACTGTCTTCAACGCTGCCCTCCGCTCTATTCCTCGCTCTTCCTCTCGGGGTCCACGGAAGTGCGTTCCCTGGTGGAATGCGGACTGTGCTCGGGCTGTCCGCTGTAAGCGTGCAGCCTGGAAGAGGCACCGCCGTAGGCAGACGACCGATTCTTTTCTTTTCTTTCGGAAAGCGAGTGCGGTGGCCCGTAGGGCCATCCGTACGGCTAAACGTGAATGTTGGGCATCTTATGTCTCAACAATTACGTCCGAAACCCCTCTGGCCCAGATCTGGAAGCGTATCCGCAAGATAGCGGGTAAGTTCGTTCCCGATGTTTCACCGGTCCTTCACCTCCATGATACTCTTGTGGCGGACCCGTTGCAGGTCGCTTCCGAACTAGGTTCCCACTTTTCTTCTGTTAGCTCTGGTCTTCATCTTCCCCAATCTTTCCTTCTTCGTAAACCTGTCCTTGAGTCTCGTCCTTTAGATTTCTGCACTCATCTTCAGCTTCCCTATAATGATCCCTTCTCTCTCTCTGAACTTCGTTCTGCCCTGGCCCTCTGCGGTTCTACGGCGGCGGGCTCCGATGGTATTCATTATGAGATGCTTCGCCATCTCCCTCCGAGCACGTCTCAGTATTTACTGAGTCTGTATAATCGGATCTGGGAGTCGTCGTCAGTCCCTGAGGACTGGCTCGATGCCGTTGTCCTCCCTGTTCGCAAACCGGGGTCTCTGGGTACTTCCCCTAAGGACTTTCGCCCTATTGCTCTCACAAGTTGTGTCTGCAAACTCTTTGAACGTATGGTTAACGTTCGTCTGATGTGGTTCCTGGAACACCATCACCTCCTCTCCCCTTCTCAATTTGGTTTCCGCAAGTGCCGCAGCACGACAGATGTCCTGGTGAACTTGGAGGTCTATATTCGTACTGCTTTTGCTGCGAAGACCTCCGTTGTTGCCGTCCTTTTTGACCTGGAAAAGGCTTATGACACCACTTGGCGTTATCATATCCTATCTCAACTTCATTCTTTTGGCCTTCGTGGTCATCTCCCTCTCTTTCTCCGCAGCTTCCTCTCTCGTCGTTCCTTTCGGGTGCGCCTTGGTACCGCTCTCTCTCCCTCTTTTCAGCAATACGAAGGTGTGCCCCAGGGTAGTGTTCTGAGCACTACTCTTTTTCTGGTTGCCCTCAATGGTCTTCTTTCCTCTCTTCCTTCTGGTGTCTTCTCCGCTCTCTATGTCGATGATCTTACCCTTTGTTGTCAGGGTGATGATTCGCCTCTCCTTCAACGCCGGCTT